CCTCCCCACAGTTATATATATATATATATTATATCATATCTTAGACAAACTTACAAGGCATTGTATTACAGGATTCTTCATTTCTGATGTTAAAATTTTCACAATATTTAGACTAACAAGGCTGTGTGATAAATTTATTTGTGCGCCGCTCATAAATTTGAGAATTCTCAAATTAAAATTGGTTTTTTATCTGTCATTCAAATTTTACCCTTAGCTAATGTCCTCCCCAAATGATTCTTTGTATTTATGTGATCAGTTATGATAAGATATTACAAGCCCTTTGAAAATTATTTAGGATAGATTAAAGTACATAAGTGGCTATTGATTGGTATCTTTTTACGTTTATAAGAATGAATGGGTTAAGTTAAAGAGAGAATTACGAGAAGCTCAAGAGCTTGTGCGGTTGCCAAGGCCAGAAAGTGAGGAGACAAGGCAAATCGTACTGAGACAGGTTGACAACAAAGAGCAAGAGCTTGCCAATGCCCTTAATGCTGCTGCAGTTGCTGAGGTATTTGTCGAATTGCCGTTGTCCCAGTTATTTTCTCAGAATATTTTTTGTAGTTTGTTTCCTGCTTGAAAGATGAATTTTAATCCTGATAAACCTTTTGAAGTTTTTTTTTTTTTTAATTTAGTGTTTGCTAAAACTCTGCAATAAAGAAGCGGTTAGCATCCCACCAAATTTTCTTGCAAGTTCCTTTATCATTGATTAGTATTTGGTCGATCATTTTGAAAAGCACTGCTTTCTGTTAAATCTTAAAAAAAGACTTTTTTTTTTTGGGACAAGAAAAAAGACATGTTTGAAAGAAGTATATGGTTGGCTTTTATTTGTACTTTATGTGTTTATGTTGTTGAAAATGTCTTTTTTTCCTGTTTCTAGTTGCTTCTCGTAGGGCGGATAATTTTATCCGTCTGTAAATTAAAAGCAAATGCATGCATTTATGTGAAACACAGAGTATGAAATACATAATTTAACATAATTATTTATTTATTTCTCATAGTTGGGCTAACCATGATGCAATTTTGTTGCGTGTGGTTTTATAAAATGTGATGATGCATTTGAAAATAATTTGAGTTTTACGTTGGCTTTTGTTATGTTAAAAACTACAAATTTTGATTTGGCAAAATTCATGAAAAGATGAAAGTGATGTTGCTCTAATATTAGTTCCTTTGATGCTTGTAAGTTGTGAATGTATGTACCGATGCATGTTTGTTGATGATTGAGTTTTTTCCCCCCTTTTTCCATTTGATTCAAATGTGATGATTTCCTGTATCACTCGATTACTTTTATGTTGGACAGAGTGAATGTGAGAAATTGAGGATAACGCTGGAAGAAGAGCAAAAACTTGTCCAAAGGCTTAAACTTGAGAAACATGATGAGGCACAGCTAGCTAAGAGACAAATTGAAGGGATAGGTCAAGAATTAGCTGACATGCGCAAAAATGCTGAGTATGCTACTACTAGAGCTGATGTTGCTGAGGTACGATCTGTGTTGATATCTTGTTTCATTTATCTTATAATAATTTATCTATCATTTTTTAGACAAATAAACAAAGTGACCTAGTTTACAAGGAGTTTTGATCATTGCAAAAAGAAAAATACAGGATTCTTGTGATTTAAAGATTTATACAAACCAATCTGAATGATGGAGAATTTCTATCTGTGCATAATTGGGGTTATGGTGGGAAGTAGGAATTATGATTTCGTTCAATGGAAAGGAATTTTGAAGAATGGAGAGTCAACACAATGTGATTGTGTTTGGTTAGGTTGAGGTTTGAGTTGCGCGGGTGTTATGGAAGTCACCGTTAAGGAGGGATATGGATATTCTTGTTTTAATTGGGTGAAAAAGCCAGTGGAGTTCCTTCCGGATTCAGAGGAAGAATAGGATTCTCTTTGCATTTTATCACTGCCTCTTTGATAGGTTAGATCCTTACAATTGCTGCTTTCATCAATTGTCTGGACAAAATTGACGAAGATTTGGGATCCATCAATAGTGAGATCATTCAAATGAGGATCATTATGAATCAGGCTGAGTCAAAGATGTAGAGCATTGAGGCAATGTTACTACAATCATGATTATTCTGCTGCAAGGTGTCTCCATTGCCAGTTTTCATGAGTCAAATTTGGTGAGGCCATTTTTTTTTTTTACTTTTGACCAGGGATGAATTGACTGCTCTGATAATGAGGTGTTCGCTTCTCCAATGGTGCACCATTTTGTTTTTGCTTTGTTTTGTTTTTGTTTTTGCAAGACATCCAAAGTTTACCTTGAAATCCAAGATCTAACGGAAGAAATTACAGAGCTAAAGAGGGGGATAAAAAAGGCAAATGACAGGTGAGAAGAGACATGGGCATGAGAGAATAGACTGATAGAGAGAGGAGCTGATATAGAGAGCAGAGAGAGATGACAGAGAAGAGATTAGAGGGAGGAAAATGTAGAGGGAGACACAGAATCTTCTTCTTAATATTGTGGCAGAAGAAAAGAGAAATGAAACCAAATATAAGGCAGAAAGGGTACTGAACAGAAAAACAAGGTATGTCCATTCACGCATAGCAGCTACGTGTTGGAAGACATTTCTATTGTCTCCTGTGTGTCTTCCTCGTTACCAGATTAGTATTTAATTTTTAGTATGGCAAGTTGATATTAAGTAACTTAGTTTTTACTCACTAAAGATCTCTACTAGTTTCTCAATGATCCAGTGGAAAGGAATTTGCTGTGCCTGGTTTGGGTGGCAAGACATGGTTATGCATGTCTTTCTTTTAATGTTGTTCAGTGTCTAGCTGAACATTGAGGACAAGGTTGATTTTCTTTTTTAATCCAACAGACAAGGTTGATTTGTATCGGCGAATAATGATTGGAATATGGTGAGAATGGTGATAATCTCACATGTCAAGAATATAAGAAGGTAATTGGGACTGTGTGCTGGTTAGGTCAATGGTGATTTGCTTTCTGCTTTACTTTCATTTTTTTCTCCATCACCTTCTTTTGCCATACTTACTATGTGAAAGTATTTTATACCTCTTTCCCTGTTTCTCCTTCTGTGCATTTGGCTTGTGCTTCTTTCATAGACTATATCCTAGCAGTTTTTTTATGCCTGTTATTTAAATTCTACTCAGAACTAACTCTCCTCTCTATGGTTCTATATATTGATGAGGAGCAATGACAATGGGTATATTTTGTGCACTTAAATAATATTATAGGATGCGTTGAAACTCTCAAGTGGCTATTAATGGGTAGCTTTAATGTTTAGAATGAATGGATTAAGGCAAAGAAAGAGTTGCAAGAGCAGAGACAGCTTTTGCAATTGCTAAAGCCAGAATGTGATGAGACAAGAAAAAGCGCCATGAGACAAGTTGAAGAGAAGGAACGAGAGTTAGCCAATGCCCTACTTGCTTCTGAAATTGCTGAGGTATTCCTTGTTGTTACTATTTATTTTAATTACCTTTGAGTTTGCCTACCTCTATTAATATTGCATGTTATCTTATTTGACATAAACTTTTAAAAGAATTTATTGCTAATATTTCCGAAAGCTGTAACAAATAAGGAATTTGGTTTTTCATCGAATATTAACATTTGTTCAATTTTAAAAAATTTTCAAACTTAAAGTCTTTGAAGCTTTTTAAAAAAGAAGGGATAACCTGCAGGAAATAGCTGAAACATCTATACTTGAATAGTTGGATTATATCTGTACTTTTTCATATTGTTTCTTCGTTTAGCAAGCTCTTACTTAATACTTCCCTTATCCAGTGGGAAATTAGATCCTTCCATCGTTTTAAAGCAAATGTATGCCATTATCAAGTACCAATAAAAAAAAAGAAAAAATATTACTATTTTCTCTTATCTTTCTTTCTTAGGTGAAACATGCTATAATTATGTGGCTAGTGACTTTATAGATTGAGGCTGCGTTTGAAAATGTGATTTTGATGTTTTTTTGGGGCTAAAGTATATTTTTACTCTTCTAACTTTATATAAAGTTTCAATTTGATCCTTTAATTTTGTAAAGTATTTTTTTTAGTCATTTAACCCTAATATCGTTAGTTTTAAATGATTATTTTTTGTGTCAATCATTGTTATTTTAAAAAAATTAAACTTAATATGTTAACATTTAAAAATGTTTTGTCAATATTTGAAAGTTTAACATAAAAATTTGTTGGAATGAAACTAATAATATTAGGGTTAAAGAATTAAAAAGATATTTTATAAAATTAGGGGATTAAAATGAAACGTATAAAGTTAATGAATTAAATGTATACTTTAACCCAAAAAAAAGTAAAATTTATAAAAATTTGAAAAATAATGTTACTCTAATGTTAGTTGCTTTATTTTGTAATTGGTAAAGAAATTTGTATACTTTTTTCTTTTGTTTTTTTTTTTTTCATTTGGGTTTGGTATGACAGTTTAACTGTATCACTTCCCTACCGTCATTAATTCATATGTAATCTTACAGCGTGAATGTGCTAGACTTACGAGAATGCTGGAAGAAGAGCAAAAACTTGTACAAAGGCTTAGACGTGAGAAAGATGATGAGATGCAGCTAGCCAAGAGGCAAATTGAAGAGATTGATGAAGAATTAGCCCGTGCTCGAAAAGAGGCCGAGTTAGCTCGAAAAGATGCTGATGCTGCTGAGGTACTCATTTTGTTCTTATTTTCTCCCTTACTTTTATAATATTTATCTACCATATTTTAGATTAACAATATGAACCAACTTACATACATTTGCAATCAATTTGATAACAAAATATAGGAGTCTGAGTGATAGAAATTCAATTTGTGCACAGCTTTTTTGTCACACCCTGTTACTAACGGTGTAATTGGCACAAAATATAAGATACACTCACATTCTATAAGCCTTAATTAATCCGGAATTAAACTAAATTATCGATATATAATTTATAAAGTTCATAAAGTATTACACATTTTATAAAAAGTTTGTTAGAATCCTCCAGTAATTAGGACCTCCCACAATTTCTATAATAGCAAAACCTGCTAGCCAAACCACAAAGGAGTTTAGCTCCAGACCAGTAGATTTATATTAACAAAATAAAATTAAGACCTAACTATGATGTACGTGGAGTTCTAAATTTATAATTTTAATATAATATATAATTATATCAAAATGAATGGTCAAAGAGTGCTCCCACTATCTAAAAAGCAATACTGCCCTTGATGATTAGCAGAAGGCACAGGGTCAACTACAATATCTGAGACCAAAGAAATTTTTTCCGTGAGTAGCATTCCGATCGAGTTTATAAATAATAATTTAATAAATAAAAATACAAATGTGAAAATAGTAAATAATAATTTAATTTAAACAAATCAAGGAAATAATGAAACACTTGCTTTAATTGACAATAAATGACAAGTTTGCTTAACGGTAAAATCATGGAACCACCAACAATATTAGAACCAGATTAGTTTATAAAAAAAATTATAATATATATAAAATTTCAAGTAATGATGCGATTTTTAAAAAATGCCTTTAAAGAAATTAGTATAAAAATGATAAGTTTTAAGCTCAATCTAGGAGGGTTTTATCTGAACGAATAACAAGCATGGACACATAGTCTACGAGGGTAAGTAACATATCTAGAGTGGCAAGAAGACACGAAAAACAGGCACAAGCATAAAGCTTACAAATAACAGGTGTGGATTATATCCACGAAACTACATCCTTCATTCCACGTGTGTTGGCCATCACACGGGGCTAGCATCTCCAATGCATCCTATTAGCTAGGTGTACCATGGCGCGCCAAGGGCTAACAAAACTGCTGTTAGCATCTAGTGTTCTGAATTCAGTCTCCCTAATTAAAATCAAGCATGCATGGAGCAGGAATAAAAACTTCAAAATTTTCCACTTTTAAATAAGTTGTTCAACAATTATTTTTCATTTCTTATGTTCATCTTCCTATCCTCCATGCACAAATTGTCATATTAAAAAATTTTCATATCAAACATAAAATTTATTGAATAAGTTACTTTTGAGACGTAATACTATTTGTCACTTACTAACTTCAATCATTACTTGGCAATAACATAAATCATGGCCAAAATCAAGAAATCATCATTTATAAATCAATTATTATAAAAAATAAAATTTAAATATAGAAATTTTATAAATATTTTACTAGAGATTTATTCGGAATGCTACCTATTTCCCTGAGAGTTTTTTATAATCTTATAGTTAGACTCTCTCAATTTCACGCTTATTTCAGTGATGCTTTAATTTAACCTAGCATTTAAACCAATAACTTTTATGTCATTATGATTTCCCTTTTCATATATGCAAGTGAATTAATATTCAAACTCTTCAATGATTCTTTAAATTTTCTCGTTAACCCCTTAAACTCTCATTAAATACTCTAATAAATTCTATCAAGTAATCAACAACACTTGGCAGCATTCAACCTCGATCATTAACACAGCTCTTAATCCAAGCTTAACAAAATCTTAATTATCATTTAATCTAGCAATTTTCCTTATTTGCTGTACAAATTCCAATGGGTAGATCAACTTCACAAATTATATGAAAACATATACTTCCTTTAGTAGCATATATAATTCCTTTAGGCTCTTGTAATGAAAATTAAACAATCTTATTCTCACCAATTTTTTCTTTCAAGCATTCTTACGAGCACTATAAAAACATTCACAGTTAACTAAATTATATGGCAAGCATCCAAACAAAATCAACAATTTTCAACATTTAATTTCGTCACAACATTTTCAGCTCAACATAATTAATAAATTAGCCTCCAACAACAACCAAAACAACAGCTAAGTCTTCCTACCAATGTCACGACAAAAATATTAAAGAACAGAGCACCATCCGAGACTAGTGAAGGAAAAAGAATAATTCACGTAGCTATTGAAATCGAAGGAGAAGAAGGAAGAATCAGTGTTTTACCTCTACCCAAGTGCAGTGGAAGCTGTCACATTTTAGCTCATGGACCACCGAAGGAGAGAAGAATTCCGCCCAGCTGTTCTTCGAAGAGGGTGAGAAGCAGAAATCACTAACGAAAAAATGGAAAGACTTAAGCTTATAATCCACACATACACGGACGCTTAGTAGTTGAGGAGGAAGGATGATGAGATCAAAGTTCACACACTCACCACCGACAGCCTCAGAGCAAGGAAGGAAAATAAATGAGCTGCAGTATTTCTCCTTCATCGTGGCATATGGACGAGAGTGGAAAAGGAACAGATGGAGGACAGCGGGGAGGAGAGAAAGAACGAAGAACGACAGCCCGGAGGAGAGAAGGAATGAAGAATGATGGCGAGAAGGAGAGAAGGTTGAGAATGCGTGAAGATTTCGAAATTTCTCGATGCTCTGGGGCTTTAATCGCAGAGGATAGAAGAAATATCTAAGTATTAGGAAATTGGGAATATTACCAAAAGGAGCATAAAGAACATTACAAAAGAGAACACAATAAAAATTACCAAAAGGGCACAAATTTTTTTTATAAATTAAAACAAAATAACACTAAATTTTTTCTTAGTAAAATTTGAACTCTAAACTTTTAAGAAAACTACTAGCATAATTTTCACTAACCGACCACTCTTCAGTTGTTATAAAACTAGTTTAAATAAATACCAATTGAAAGAACTTTTTTTTTTGGGAGTCATTACATTTTTAATCTATGATTCTATCTGTCATTTGAATCTTCATATGATTAAATATTATTTGAGAAATTATAAAATATTATGTGTAAGAACTGTTTAGGGTTGATGGAAGCACTTTAAATGGCTATTGATTGGAAATTTTTGTATCCAGAGTGAATGGACTAAGGTGAAGAGAGATTTGAAGAACATGCAAGGGCATGTCAAATTTCTGGAATTGCAATGTCAAGAGATAAGAGAAAGTGCCAGTAGGCAAGATGAAGAGAAGGCACTGAAGTTGGCCAATGCTCTTAATGCTTCTGCGATTGCTGAGGTGAATTTTAGATAAATGTATTGTATTCTAGATAAATGTTCTAGGGAACATTTTCTAACAAGTATTTACATAACTGAATCATAAGAGAACATTTGAAAATGTGATTTTGATGTTGGTTTTTTTTTTTTTTTTTTTTGAAAAAAAAGCAGTAAAATTTATGAAAATATGAAAAATAATATTACTCAATGTTCGTTGCTTTATGTTTGTAATTGGTAAAGAAATTCGTATAATTTTTTTTTTTCTCATTTGGGTTTGCTATGACAGTTTAACTGTATGACTTCCCTACCGTTATTAATTCATGTGCAATCTTACAGCGTGAATGTGCTAGACTTACGAGAATGCTGGAAGAAGAGCAAAAACTTGTACAAAAGCTTAGACTTGAGAAAGATGATGAGGTGCAGGTAGCCAAGAGGCAAATTGAAGAGATTGATCAAGAACTAGCCCATGCTCAAAAAGATGCTGAGTTAGCTCGAAAAGATGCTGATGCTGCTGAGGTACTCATTATGTTCATATTTTCTCCCTTACTTTTATAATATTCATATACTATATTGTAGATTAACAATATGAACCAACTTACATGCATTTGCCATCAGTTTGATAACAAAACATGAGAGTCAGAGTGACAGACATTCAGTTTGTGCATTCTTAATCTATGATTTTATCTGTCATTTGAATCTTCAAATGATTTAATATTTTGATGTGAACAATTATAAAATATTATGTGTGAGAATTGTTTAGGATTGATTGAAGCACTTAAATGGCTATTAATTGGAAATTTTTGTATCCAGAGTGAATGGACTAAGGTGAAGAGAGATTTGAAGAATATGGAAGAGCATGTCAAATTGCTGGAATTGCAATGTCAAGAGATAAGAGAAAGTGCCAGTAGGCAAGATGAAGAGAAGGCACTGAAGTTAGCCAATGCTCTTAATGCTTCTGCGATTGCTGAGGTGAACTTTAGATAAATGTATTGTATTCTAGATAAATGTTCTAGAGAGCCTTTTTTAACAATTATTTACAAAACTGAATCATAAAGAAGCAGCTGGTCTTTGGTTGATACTTATTTAATTGTTTTAATTTTTTTTAATTTTTAAATCACCGTATAAGACAAAACTAAAAGAAGTATATAATTGGATTACGTTTGTACTTTTTTATTCTTGTTTATTCAGATGAATTTCTTCTCCATTTCTGATTCAGGATTATCAGAAAATAAAATCATTATGATTCACTCGCAGTGGTAACTGTGATCCTTCTACAATTTAAAAGAAAATATTCGCCTTCATCAAACGTGGACAGTCAAAATAAAAGTAAACATTTTTTCTTGCCTTTAGTTGTTAAGGGAAACATGCTATAATTATCTAGCTAGAGATTTTTTTAGGGAGGCTATGTTTGAAAGTAGTGTGATATTTAAATTTTCTTTTTAATCTAAAACTTACAGATTTATGTTTAAAAAATTGTATGAGAAGATAAAAGTAATAAAGCCTTCAGTGTATTTAATTTGTGAAGAAATGCGCATAATTTTTTTATCTTTAACTATCTTTTCTGTCTTCCCATTGAAATTGAATTTGACACTTCATCCGTATCACTCCATTTCCTTTCTGTTAAAGCTTTTGCTAATTTTGCAGAGTGAATGTGCTAAACTTAAAAGAATGCTGATTGAAGAAGGAAAAACCGTCCAAAGGCTTATAATTGAGAAAGATGATGAGGCAGAACTGGCCAAGAGACAAATTGAAAAGATAGATCAAGAATTAGCCAATGCTCGTAAAGAAGCTCAACATGCTCGAAAAGATGCTGACATTGCTGAGGTACTAATTCTGTTGATTTTCCCCGTCACATTCTAGACACATTGATAATATGAACTAACTTATACGGAGTTGTATCAATATGATAACAAAATATAGGATTCATTTGTAATTTTAAAATCGTGAAAATATTATTACTAACAGGGATGAATGATAAGAAATTGTTAGTTTCTGTTCAGTTTCTTATTCCAAGATTTACAAGATTGATGTTACATGTTACCTAGTATTTGAATGCTACTTGTAACTCAATTTTCTTTGAATGATTGTATGTATTGACGTGGTGTGATTGCGTAAACAGTTGTGTGTACTTAAGCATTGTTTAGGATGAGATTAACTGGTTACTTCTATGTTTAGAATGAATGGGCCAAGGTGAAGAGAGAGTTGAAGGAAAAGGAAGAGCTTGTCAAGCTGCTAAAGTTGGAAATTACGGATATAAGAGAAGGTACTATAATGCAAGTTCAAGAGATAAGTGAAGAATTAGATGCTGCCAGAAAAGAAGCTGAGCATGCTCAAAATGATGCTGACATTGCTCAGGTAATGACTGCTTTGCACCAAAAAAAAAAAAAAACTTATTTACATTGAATTTGTATCTTTGAAATTGTGAAAATATTATCACTAACCGGGCTGGATGATTATAGATTTTTTTTTTTTGGCAGTGCTCTTAAATGTAAGTCAAAATTAATGTTTCTTCATATTTGGCTGAGAGAGATTTGCTTCCCCGCCTAATGATTTTTGTTGTTGACAATTATACTAATATATTATGTGCATAAAGAATATTTTAGGATGGATTGAAGGGTCTACTTGACCATTAATTTGTAACTTTTTATGTTTAGAATGAATGGATTAGAGCGAAGAAACAGTTGCAAGAAAAGCTTGAGCTTGTGCAGTTGCTAAAGGTGGAATGTCGGGAGACTAGAGAAAGTGCCATGAGACAGGTTGAAGAAAAAGAACAAGAGTTAGCTGATGCCCTTAATGCTGCCACAGCTGCATCATCGAGTTCTGCTGCTGCCCAGGTGTCTAGAAAAGAAAAATATTCAAAAGATCCTTCTTACAAAAACAGATTAAACTGATCATAAATTATCATACAAGGATTTAGTTCAAATTCAAATCCAATCCAAACCCTCGCTAATTCAAACACACCATAAACTTAACAAGTTTCTCCAAAGATTAGTCAGTACAATGCATGGCAGTATTTCTTGTATGTTTAACAATGCTAAATCTGAAATAAGAAAAAGTGCATTTACAATGATGTGCAGGATTGTGTGATATGTCTGACCAATGAAAAGGACATGGCTTTTGGATGTGGACACATGGTAATAACTCTTAACAGAAAGATTTCATTGCCTTTTCTCTTTGCATTATGAGAATGATGATTATTATGTTATTCTTATGCAGTCTTGTGAAGAATGTGGGAAGATGCTGTCCATGTGTCCTATATGTCGGGAGGAGATAACCCATCGGATCAAACTGTTTCCTGGATGACAAGGAGTATTTTAGGTTCAAATCAAACCTCTCTGTCTCATTCATTCTCTGCATATATCACTAATGTATCAATAGTTTTCTTTCCAGTGTGCTTTGAAGATGATGCAATGTGTCTGGACTGTGTTCTTGTTTCGGATCAGAAGGATACAAGCCAAAAGATGATAACTGTTAATAATGGAATCAGAAAGAACGCAACCTAGCAAGACTTGTTTTAGTTGTGAAAAAGCATGCCTCAAATGTAATCACCACGTGCGACTTTTTTTCTTGTGCACCTAGTGTGTCTACAACCATTAGCTTCTTGAAGCCTTGGGTTGAGCCCAAAGGTAAATGTATGCTTTAATTTAATGTAATGGAGTGTAGTGAGCAAAGAGAACTTTACTTTCTGAATCTTTCTTAATAGATTTGGAAATGGTTAATTGAAGATGAGGTGGCATTAAGTGAAAGGATATTTGGCAAATAGGGGAGGGGTGGGAGAACCAAGTTTGGTAGTGATAGTGACTTTGATCATTTAATTTGAGTGTCTCACAACATCGTAGCATCTCAGACCTGCAATGATCAGTTAATATGGATATCTCAGATTATTACAAGGTTAAAAATAATTTGGGAAATTATTAGTATATGTATCCCCAATACTAACAATAATATGGTAATTATTTTTTTGGGGTTTGGGATCATGTTCAAGATAATAGAATTAAATTGGTTTGACAATTCATACATAGTTTTGTTTGATAAAAGGAAAATTAATCATTTAGTTCATGTAATTTTATATGTAATTTTATCTTGATTATAATTTGAAGTTAAACTTACTTGACTCAATCTTTCAAGTTTTATCTTCTTAATAAATTCTATACACTCGAGAATAATTACTAGGTCTTAATACTTATGTGGTTAAAATAAGGAATTGGTTTATGTTGAACTTAGCTTCAAACATTAAAAATTAATTCAATCAACACTGAAAAAACTAAATGATTAATTTTTTTGCTTTAACAATTCATTGATGTCATGGTTGAGGGAAATGTTAACTGTCTTCAGTACATGAGACCTAAAATGAACAATTTTGGACTGCCTTCATCTTAACCATGTACCAAAGTTAGTGAAAAGA